AGGAACCTAACCCTGTATTTCCCTTAGGAGCAGTGGCTCAGTGTTTACTAATTCAGTTTTCATGGCAACCTTATAGAACATAACTACCGCAAATTTCAAGGATATATTTTCAAATGGCCATGCCTCTATAATTAGTAAGTGAGAGTGATTTTTCTCCACCCCCAGCTAAAAATATTGTTTCAAACTTTTGCTATCTGATAACCTGATAGTTGGATAATGATATTTTGTGGTTTTAACTTGCATTTCTCTTAGTATGAGAAATGTAGAACATCTTTTCATGTTTTAGAACTAGTCATACTCCTTTTAGTTTTCTCTTTTTGTCTTTTTTTTTTTACTGATTTGTGACAAATCTTCAGATATGAAGAAAATTAGCCCTTCTTCTATGCTACAAATTGCAGATATTATCCCTAGTTTGTCGTTTATCTCTTGACCTTTTTTTCCCCATATGGCAAAAGAAAATACCATAAACATTTTTAATATAGTCAAATGTATTGATTTGTCTTTAGTAGACTCTGAGTTTTGTTATGGTTTTAAGGGTTAGTATCCAAAATCTATAAAAAACTTATCAAATTCAACACCCAAAGAACAAATAACCCAGTAAAGAAATGTGCAGAAGACATGAATAGACACTTTTCCAAAGAAGATACCCAGTTGGCTAACAGAGACATAAAAAGATGCTCAATATCACTCATCAGGGAAATACAAATCAAAACCACAATAAGGTGCTCGCTTCGGCAGCACATATACTAAAACCACAATAAGATACAACCTCACACCTGTCAGAATGGCAAAAATTAACAACACATAAACAAATGTTGACAAGAATGTGGAGAAAGAGGAACTCCCTTGCATTGTTGATGGGAACGCAAACTGGTGCAGCCACTCTGGAGAACATTATGGAGGTTCCTCAAAAAATAGAAAATAGAACTACCCTACAGTCCAGCAATTGCACTGCTAGGTATTTACCCAAAGGATAGAAAAATACAGATTCAGAGGGATACATGCACCCTGATGTTTATGGCAGCATTATCAACAATAGCCTAGCCATGAAGAGAGTCCAAATGTCCATTGATTTATGAATGGATAAAGAAGAGGTGGTAAAGAATGAAGTCTTGTTATTTCAATGACGTGGATGGAACTAGAGTGTATTACGCCAAGTGAAATAAGTCATTCAGAGAAAGACGAATACCATATGATTCTTCTCATATGTGATATTTAAGAAACAAAACAGATGAACATATGGGAAGGAGGGGGGAAATAGGAGAGAGAGAAACCAACTATAGGAGACTCTTAACAATAGAGAACAAACTCTATTGTTAAGAACAAACAGGGTTGATGAAGGGATGTGGGTGGGTGATGGGCTACATGGGTGATGAGTATTAAAGAGGGCACTTGTTGTGATGAGCACTGGTTGTTGTACGTAAGTGATGAATCACTGAATTCTACTCCAGAAACCAATATTGCACTGTATGTTAACTAATTTTAAATAAAAATAAAAATTTTAAAAAAATCTAAAAAAATAAAAGCTCTTCTTAAATGATATCTAATAGTTCTGTTGTATTTGATGTTTTGTTGGTCCTTTGGTGTTTTTAATGAATTTAATCCTCTCAGTAACACTAATTATGAATCTTTCTAAGCTGTGTAAATTTTAAAGCAATAGAACAATGGAAGGTCACCAGGTTCTGGAATTCAAAAGTCCTGTTTGAATTGTAGTTTGTGCACTTACTAAAATGACCTAAGCCATGTTACTTACCTGCTCTTAGCCTCAGATTCCCCATTCAGGCTTTACTGTGTTCTATTACAAAAGACAGTGCCTGGCTTATGATGGATTCTCAATGTTAGTTCATCTCTCTCCTGTTTCTCTAAAGCCTTTGACCAAGAAATATTTTGTTAAATTAACTTGAGTTAAAACATACACTTCAATAAACAGGATTCCTTTTCAGAAGCATTCTATCATATAAATTGCAAATTATTTCTGTTGAGTTTCTCAGGTTAGCCTGAACTTCTAACTCATACATAAGTATTTGAATTGTAGGTATTAAAAATAGTGTGTCAGTACAAAGCACATTGCAAAAATACATTTTTTGGCAATAACTGTGAAAAGAATAAATGAAGATTGAATTTCTAGACACTGAGTTACTTTCTTTAAAAACTCCTAAGCTATGTCTAGAAACTTCACTGGAAACCCTTCAATATAAAAACAATTATTTAATGAAGTCAGCCACTGTACCCAATTTATCCTGTTTCATAATTCTAATTTTTTTTTATATATTACATTTCCTTAAAGTAGGCCACATTTTTAGAGGGAGTAATGCATTTAAAATAAGCACAATTGTGTCTTAAAAAATAAAGTGTAATGTTATTATCCTTTACTTTCATAATTAGATCAACTATATTTCCATGTGTTTTTCTTTCCATGGCTAATTCCTGAGCCACCTTAACATTTGGGGCATAAGGAGAAGTCACAATTTTAGAAATCCCTTAACTTTATATTTAAATACAATTGCTTTGTCACTACTCTAAGGAATTTCAGTAAGACTTGAATGCCTTTGCTCTATTAGGCAATTTAGAATATCCCAGACCTTGCTCTGGACTTCAGGATTTTTGAAGTTCAAAGCAGATGTGTGAGGAAGAAAAAACATCTGTTGAAGAGAACTTGCTTCATTGCGTGACACTGTTTTCCTGCACTCTTCAGTGGAGCGTCTGTTGAGTAGGTTGGCAGGTTTGATAATTAATTAATGATGAGGGAATGAGCCATGTATCTGAGGAACTCACTTTTGCCCGTTACTGCTTCTTTCTTCCCCACATGTCTGGCAAAGCCTTTAGAGTCTAGGATCACTGATCCCACAGTTGTGTCTCAACTCAAACACTTGTCTTCAGGCTTAATTAGCTCAGAGATATAAACAGATGGATGGCCTGGAACCCAGAAGGTTTAATGTTGAGCAATGCAATTTTATTATCTGGGAGTTTTGAAATTTTTGTTGGAGAAGTATGTCAAAACTTAAAAAAATGCCTTTTTAAAAAAACCATAGAATTTTTTGTTTTGTTTTTTAATTTTATTTTATTAACATATAATGAATTATTTGTTTCACGGTACAGGTCTGTGATTCATCAGTCTTACACAATTCACAGCACTCACTGTAGCATAGACCCTCCCCAGTGTCCATCACCCAGCCACTCCATCCCTCCCAGCCCCACTCCACCTCATCAACCCTCAGTTTGTTTCCTGAGATTAAGAGTCTCTTATGGTCTGTCTCCCTCTCTGGTTTAGAAAAAAACCATAGAATTTTGAAAGTACTTACTTGAAGGTAACAGGGTTTTGTGTGTATCTCTGTATGTGGATTTTTCTTTTTGTAACTTTTTATTTAGGTATAATTTTAAACTTACAGAAAAGTTACAAGAACAGTACAAGGAACATCTACTGTTCCTTTACCCAGATTCACACATTCTTTTCTTTTTCCCCCATTTGTTTTTCCATCTTCACTCCTTCCTTCTCCTGTCTTCCTCCTACACCCACACCGACCCACCCACCCACCTGCCTACCCACACTCATACACTAAAACATGTGCATGCTTTTTCTGAACTATTTGAAGTCAAGATGGATGTTTGCTATCTTTCCTCCTAATAATTCAGTGTATATTTCTTATGGACAGGCCATTCCTCTAAATAATCACAGTATAGTTATCAAAATCATAAAATTTAATATTGATGCAGCATTATTTTCTAATCGATAGTCCCTTCTTAAATTTCATCAGTTGTCTCTATAGTGTTCCTATGACACCACACCCAGATCAATGTAGGATAACAAATTGCATTTAGTTGTCATATCTCCTTTAAATGGAAACAGTTTCTCAAGTCCTTTGTATATTTTGACTTTGACATTTTTGAAGAGTTCAAACCAGTTATTTAGTAGCGTTCCTGTGTGAGATTTGTGTGGTGTTTCCTCATGCAGTCTGGGTTCTGCAGTTTTGGCAGAAGTACAACAGAAGTGGTGTGTCCCACAGTATCTTATCAGGAGGCACACGGTGTTGATTTTCCCTTAATAGGTGAGGTGAGTTTCCATCATTTGATTAAGGTGGCTTCATTGGTTTCTCCACAGTGAACTTATACTTCTCCTCGTTACACTTAGTAAGAACTTTATGGAGATACTTTGAGACTATGTAAATAGCTTTCTCCTCTTCAAATTGTCACCCACTAGTTTTAGCAGTTATGATGGTTTTCTAACTCTGTTATTTCTTCTGTTTATTAGTTGGCATTCTGTCATAAGGAAGAGCTTTCTCTTCTCCCTCATTTGTTTATTCATTTATTTATTTGCATTAGTATAGTCTCAATGCTTCTTATTTTATTTGGTGGTGAAAATGCATTACTGTCATTATTTATTTTGACACTTAGTTTGACTCTGATTTAGCCAGTGGGAACCCCTTCGGGCTGATGTCTGGGTCATTTTGATAAGTTGTCACCATTCTTTGAGCAGTTCCTTACTTTCTGGCACAGTAAGATGTTCCAGATTCATTTTATAATTTCTCTGCCTCAGCCCTGGAATGAATATTCTCCGAGGAATCCTGGTTCCTTTTTATGGAGAATGGTAGTTAGAAACCAAGACTGTGTGTGTGTGTGTGTGTCTGTGTGTGTGTGTGTGTGTGAAAGGAAACTATGGAAACTACGTTATGGAATATTACATGTGCTAAATCATTGTGTATTGTATGTATGAGTATGTAGTGCATGTGTTAATTTTAGGCTACAAGTTTCAAACAGAAGAGCATTTATTTTACATGTAATAATCATAAGTTTTGACAAGAAAGAAATACATTTTTCATTTCACAGTAAATGGCATTACACAGTTTTGAGTACTAAATCATCTTGACATTTATGAAGGACCAAATGGAAAGTAGGGAACTGTGTTAAAATATAAAGCTATCTTTAACTGTTCTATTAAAAAGCAAAGATTTATTTTCCATCTGTGATCTGAATGTGCCTATTTGTGTTCTCTTCCACGGCAGTGGAATTTTTGTGGAGCCACACGACAGAGAGCATGTGTGTTGGATATATGTCAGCCCAGGATGGGAAAGCCAAGGTAAGTGGGAAAACTGGGGCATAACCTGAAAACCTTGTAGCTGTTGCATGAACCTCTAACCAGTTAAGTTGATAAAAATGTATTTTTTTTTCAGCCTCTGTTAGGCAGTAGCCCTGTGATCTTTATGAGAATCTGATTAAATACGGTTAATGATCCCAAAGAAAAAACAGCAGATCTTTTTAGCTTTTGATGACAGAGCAGGAGAGATTAGGAAATACTACCCCCCCCCAACCCCTTTATTTTCATCTTGTTCTTCCTCATCAACTGTAAATAACTAGAAAAGAGGAAACTGGGGATTGGGAAGAGAAAATGGAGTAGAGCTGATGGGCTGACAGAGCTAAGTGATTTTGCAGGGAGTGTTGGAATAGATTAAGGAAACAGGTAAAGAAAGCTGAGTGCCTAGATAGCACTCTGCATGTGCCAGGGTGGAGGTGGCCGAGGTGCTTGCACGTGACTTGTCTAGTGTTCTGGTGTGTCCTGGCGTGCCATGGCTCAGTGTCCTTGTGAGCAGAGTCAAAGGTCTGTGCCCTGTGTGACACATGCCTGTGGCATGCATCCCTCACTGAGTCACAACAATCACACAGACATACACAGCTACTCATGCTTTGCTTGGTTTCCCTGCATCCATGATGGGTGAGTCTATATAAGAAATATAATTTATGGATTTTAGTATTTATACTGGCCTGATGTTCTTCTTCATAAATTTTTTAGAAACACATATGGCATATGATATTTAGTTGGTATTAAAATACCTTAATTGCAAAGCTATGAAGTGGGCAGCGTCTTTTTTAAAGGACATAATTTTTGTTGCACATTTGGAGATATAAGTAAGGAAACTTCTAATATCAATGTCTGATATAGATTGAATCATTAACAAATTAAGGATATATGTCAGTTTATCACTTACTTATTTGTCATTAAACTAACCCACCCAGTCTGGCCTCTCTATATTATCCAGCAAGCCAGTAGCATCACAAGGCTTTTGTGAGTACAGCATACAATATACAATACAATATTATTGAGTTCTCCTCCTCTTTGTCTTACCCTCACCTAATACAATATTCGTATTGTATCAGTAGACTTATTTCATAAGAAAATGCACAGAAATTGCTTTATTTCATAGTATATACAGAAGGAAAGTATAGTTCTTTTTTTAAGATTTTTAAAAAATTTATTTATTTGACAGAGAGAGAGAGATCACAAGTAGGCAGAGCAACAGGCAGAGAGAGGTGGGGGGGAAACAGGCTCCCTGCTGAGCAGAGAGCCTGACGCAGGGCTCGATCCCAGGACTCTGAGATCATGACCTGAGTCGAAGGCAGAGGCTTAACCCACTGAGCCACCCAGGTGCCCCGGAAATTATAGTTTCTTGTTTTAAAGGTGACTTTTGAGGGATGCTTGGGTGGCTCAGTCTCTTAAGCATCCAACTGTTGATTTCAGCTCAGATCATGAACTCAGGTTTGTGAGTTCAAGCCCTGTATTGGGCTCTGTGCTGGGCATGGAGGCTGCTTAAGATTCTCCCCTTCTCCCTCTGCTCCTCACCCCCCCACACTTGTTCTCTCTCTCTCTTAAAAAATAAAATAAAAAAAAATTTTAAAAAGATGATTTTTGAGTTTAGAGTAACATTGCCTAATAGAATTTTCTGTGATGACTGAAATGTTTTATATATATATATATATATATTTTTTGTTGTTGTTGTTGTTGTTGTTGTTGTTGTTGTTGTTGTTGTCGTCCAGTAGGTTAGCTACTAGTCACATGTGGCTATTGAGCACCTGAAATATGGCTAGTTTGCACGAGGAACAGAATTTTAAATTAGTTTAAATTTAATTTAAAATACTTATTTTTAATTTAGATAGCCCCATGTGGTGAAATGGCTACTGTTGAACAGCACAGGCTTAAAGAATGAGTGGAAAATGGTTATTCAAAAAAGTATTTTCAGAACATTGTTTTCTTCCTGATGACAAAGCCATTCCCAAATATAAAATAAGCCTGAGAAGCCACAGTAATGGATTGCAGCCATATAAGTTTTTCTCACCCCTTACATATTGGCTCTGAGCTAAAATTGTTTTTTTAACAAAAGAACATATATGAGGTGGACTTTAGTGTTGAAGCCAGTCTGATGGGGGTACCATCATGTTATTAAGTCCCTTGTGCGGAAATGTTCTAGTTACCCTGCTGGTGGCCTTTGGAAGACACCTTAATATTTAACATGAAATATGGGTACTAAAGAGAGTGGCGAGTCCTGCATTGAGCCCAAAGATGTTTGGCCTCTAGTTGCATTGCTTGACATCTGGTGGACGTGGTTTTCATATTGCTGGTAAATTCTCCAGCTGGTAGTCTTGATTGGGCCAACAGATACAGCTGCTCCTCTTGCCTCACTTGTAAATTATGTTTTTGACCTTCTTGCAGAGAGTTAATCCCTCTCCCTTTCTTCCTCCTTTGAGCCTGTGGCTACAAATGCTTTCCAGAAAGGGGAAAAAAAAAAAAAAACACCCCAAACACTAATGCTTCGGCTGCTGAATTCTATTGATCAAAAAAACCCATCTCTTCTGTCATAAAGGCTGGAATTTTATTGTACTGCAAGTAAGACAATGTTATAATTGAGAAGTTGGGCGCAAAAGAGAAAGGAGCTATAGCAAAGTTTGTATTCCTTTTAAAAGAGTAAGCTTTTGGTCTATACTTCTGGTTTCCTGATTTCTGTGAAAAAATTGTTGAATTAATGGCATGCCCATTCAGGTTTGTGAAATGTTCTCACATAATGTTGAGATCCATGGTAGCAAAGGAGAAAGAAGGCATCCTTTAAAACTAAAACAAAACAAAACCCACAACCAACAACAACAAAACACACGCATTTTTTTAAATTTAAAAACTATTTCTAAAAAGCTTTTTTTTTTTTTCCCCCCCCCCCCCCCGTTTTCTTTAAAAATTTGGTCTTCTTGTTACCAAACTCAGAACCTAAAGCCACCTGGCCATTCGAACATTTTATATAACCTAGCTACGTTCAGTCCAAGTTAAGGCCTTGAATTAAAGCTCACCTCAAAATCACAGTGCTTTAAAAAGGCTGGATAATATATATTATAGTAACCGGAGTCCATATATAATTTGAATAAATAGAGGTAGATTCTTTTAAAAATTTTTCTTTTCTTCTTTTTTTCTAGAACATCCTTGTAATTATATTAATTTAATTTCTAAAACTGTAGCTTAAGTTAAAGAGTTTTTTTTATTAAATCAAAATTAAGGCATTGATAGCAGTTGGATTTAAAAATCAGATTGCCTATATCCTACCCAGATAGTAGTTAATGAACAGTTTTTAATAAACACCCAGTGTGCATAGACTACTGTGATAAAAACAGATGTTAAAACCGGCATGGAACTTATTGAAATGTGTAATAAGTGAAACGTAGGTTTCTTTTACTATGTGGAGGTCACTTTTTATAACAATAGTGAAAATACTGTTATAAAAATTCATTCATGAGGAAGAGCAGGTCTTAAAATGTCTCCCCACAGATTTCTTATTAGTTGCAGAGAAAAATAATAAATATATAATGGGGAAACCAGGCAACAACTTGACCTTGTGATCAAAATTAATGTGACCGATGAGGGGCAGATGGACATCACGTGCCTATGAATGTGATAATATGAGAAAGACACAACATCACTTTTGTACTATTCCATCTGGAAGTGCATAACCTGAATCTAATCACAAGGAAACATCAGACAAATCTAAAATGAGGAACATTCTATGAAGAAAGAAAAAAGGGAGTATATTCTTCAAAAATGTCAGTGTCGTAAAAGGCAAAGGCTCAGGGAAGTGCTCCAGATTAAATAATATGAGAGTCTTGGCAACAAAATGCAATACCTGATCCTATACTGGATCCTATGTGGGAGGGGAAAATGCTATAAATGCATTATTAGGTCAATTTACAAAATTGGAATATAGATAGTAAAAAGTGTTGGATCATTCTTAAATTTGTTATGACTGTACTGTAGTATATTAAAAATATCCTAACTCTTAAAAAATACACACAAGTACATAGGTATAGAGGGCCATAATATGTATAATATCTTCTTGATGCTCCAAAAGAAATATATGGATGGATGGATGGATGGATGGATGGATGGATGGATAGATAGCAAATTAAAAAGTAATGGAGCAAAATGTTGTCAACAGGTGAACTTGGGTAAAGGAGGTATAGATGTTCCTCGAACTGTTCTATAATTTTGAAATTATTTTCGTGTAGAAATTTTTAAAAATTTATCACCCTTGGGGTGCCTGGCTCAGTGGGTTAAACCTCTGCCTTCAGCCAGGTCATGATCTCAGGGTCCTGGGATAGAGCCCCAAGTCAGGTTCTCTGATCAGCAGATCTCCCCCCCCCCCCCCCCGCCTGCCTCTCTGCCTACTTGTGACCTCTCTCTCTCTCTCTCTGTGTCAAATAAATAAATAAAATCTTTTAAAAATATATATATCACCCTTGGATATTATGGCACATTTGATTAGTTTTGAAATGAATAAGTATTGGAATGAGTGTACTGCCAGGCAGTTGGAGCCTGGATTTTCTCCCTCACTCTGTGTACCTGTTAGTGTGATCACTCTGCCTCTTGGGATCTCAGAGGCCTTATCTGTAAAATGAGAATAAGAATATCTTACTATGCCTTAAATCCTTTCTGGGATAAAGTATGATAACAACAAAGAGACAAAATCTGTCTCTCTGAATACAGATGACTGAATTCTGTTAAGTCCTTGGTATATTATGGATATATTGCATATATAATGGATATTTGTACATATTATGACCCATAATGCCCAGATACTTGCCTCCAATCTGCAAAATTCTAAATTCTGCATTCTAGATTATATAAGCAGATATATTGCTGTTCAACTTTCAGTAGAATTTTTACAATCACAATGTAGTGCATCTATAATTTTTTTTAATTTTGTTTTTTTGAAGATAGTTTCTGAGGCTTTAAAAAAATCTCAATAAACATCTGTTTAGAAGGGATAG